TGTGTGTTTCTGTGTGCTGGGTGTGTATTGTGTTCTGTGTGCTGTGTTGTGTTCTCTGTGGGTTATGTTTGTGATTAAATTCTGGTTGACATTGAATTGTCATAGATTGAATTGAGAGTGGGATTAAAATAAAAGTAATGTGTATTATTGACCACATTATTACTTCATCAAATTAATTTAACTTGTTAAGTTTTAAAATAGGAGACTTAACATATTTTTTATTTTTATTTTTTAATTTTGTAAAACCAAAATATTTATTATAAAGTAAAACAAAAATTGTTTCTACTTTTTATTTTAAAAAGCAAAATAAAAACAATACCAAATTTCTGTTTTAAAGTGTTTTGACACATTCAAAAACATTTTGGTATATTTCACTATTATTTTAAAGGGTAAAATATACTAAAAATTAAATAGACATAAATTAAAAATTTTAGAAACTAAATAAAAATAAAATTATAAATTAGGTGATTAACGCGTGCTTACGATTTTTTTATAGACTTTTAAATTTGGACCACTTTAATATAAATTAAAAATTTTAGAGACCAAACAAATATAATTAAAAGATTAGAGACTAAATAAATATTAAAGGCATAATTTGGAAACTGAAAGTATATTTTTCCCTATTTTTTAAAATATTTCAAGATATTTCGATTAATACTGAATTATTATTTGTTTACAGTTTATACTGAAACATTTTTACTTCCAAGAACTCAGATGTATACCTGGTCTTTAACAGAGATGGCGGCTTTCAGAAAGGTCTCAGCTGGGAGTGACAAGTTCGCTGCCGTTGGATTCGTTGTGTGAAGCAAATCGAGCCGTTCGTTGCCGTCTTCGTGATCGCTACTTTCCTTAGAAGCAAACTCCACCACTGACGACATTTTTTTTTCCCCTCTCTCTCTCTCTCTCTCTCTCTCTCTCTCTGAATCTTAAGATGATTTGCTTCTGCAGTGAGCTGAGAAATAGCTGTGTTTGTGTGTGTGTTTTCGGTTACGCTATCTTCAACAGAATAAATAGGGGAATGAAGAGAGAGAGGGAGAGAGAGAATTTGCGAATATGTGTAACAGTGTGGTTGTATGGAGTGGCACGTGAAAAAGGTGATAGCTACGCACGTGCCGCGTTGTACACGCTGTTCGAATGAGCCTGTGGGATTAAGATTGTCTGGGGTGCAATTCGAGCGGTGGAGAGGTCCACTTTAATTCAGCCATAAGTATATAATTTTAAACGTTAATGCTAACTCTAATTTTACTTCAACATGAGATATTCAACTCGAGTTTTGCCTAAATTTAATTTAAACGGATTCAGGTTGAATTCAATTTACTTAATTCGGGTTAATTTCGGATTAAAAATTAGATTGAGCTTGAGTTACTTAATTTATGTTAATTTTTTTAGGTGTAGATTTCATTTTTTTAAGTGTAGATTTAATTTTTTCAAGTGTAAATTTGATTTTTTCAAGTGATCTGAAATGAAGGGTAAAACACAGATAAAGAGAGAGAGTGAAAGAGGGAGGAGTGATAAGGGAGAGAGAGATCTGGGAGTAATGGAGGTGCAGAAATGAAAACTTGAAATGAAGTAAAAGTTTAAATTCTAAAAAGTGAGAATAAATACTAATTCTAATTAAATATATTTATATATTTACGTATATTCAGATTCAACCCGATTTTAATATTCGAGTTAGAGTTTTTTGTCTAGGCCAGTCTAAATATTAAAAATTTTAACCTAAGTCCTTTTTTTTCGAGTTAGTCCGTCCCAAGTTTCACCCCCTAAAATTGTCGTTAGGGGAATCGGCTACCCAAAAAACACAAAAAGGACTAATCATAAATTGCATAATGAAATATTGTTCGAACTTTAATTTGTATCTTTAAAAATTAAAAATCTTAATTTATACTTTTACAGATATAAATTTATATTAATGTCCACTTGAAATTAACAGCCAACAATTTGTCGTCTAAAACTAAATGGACAATTTGCACTTAGACTCTCTTATACATGTTATTTAATCACCTACAACCCTCACATTTAAAATATTACATTTACATCCCCTGAGAATTTAAATATGATTAAAAATATTCTCCCAATTGGGCATCCAAATAATTATGTTCAAGTGAAATATTGTATTGGATATAAAGAACATTATGTTGAGCATTCAAATTATAAGTTTAATTTTAGGCCTACAAAATAAAAGGTAGTATAAAAATTATATTTTTTTATTATGATGAAATCATATTTTTTAACAATTATATTAATAGATATCAATGACAATAAGTTATGTGTTATACGTGCATAGACGTCAGGAGTTGTATGAGTAATATTTTAATGTGAACGATTTAGATGATTAAGTGACAAACTTGAGGGGTTTAGGTATAACTTATCCAGCTAGACAACAAACTGATAATTGTTATGTTCTATTGCACATTGGTATAAATTTATATAAATTAAGATTTTTTATCTTTGAATGTACAAACTGAGATTCGAGAGATATTTTCTTGGTGTAATTTACGATTAACCCCAAAAAAAAAAACGATAGTGTGAGGTTTACAATTCTTTTATGAATTGGGCAAACTCGAACTATAGGCTTGTTGGTTTTGAAGTGTAAATTACATATAGATTAAATTACTATTTATATGCGTTGTGGATAATTTATTAATTTATGAAACAAGCTTGACTCAGTTGGACCTTCAGATATTTGTGTTTTTATTAGTAAAAATTGAGTATTTTTTTTAAAAAAAAAAAATTCTAAAGAGAATAGAAGTTAAGACTCTAGTCAAGTTAAAAAATTATTAGGATTAAAAATATCTTCAAATATATTTACTTTTTTTTTTTTTTTATTGTACGTGAAGATTTTAATGAAGGTACAAAAACGTCATATCTTGAGTTTGAATAATTTGGTTTGTTGTTGAATCCAAATATCAATTATGATATATTACCGAAAGCCATTTTATTTGGTCGGTGGATGCTGGTTTACGAGGGAACATACGAAGATAACCACATTTGATGGATGGTGGGGCTTGTCTTATCATATGATTGTGGGCATTATAGTGTGGCCAGGGGCATTAGTAGTCCAGCACTCAAATGCTATTATTATGGGATTAGAGAATTCTTGGCGATGCTCGTCTCCAATTATAAAATGCTTTAAATTCAAGATTTTTTGAGATAAATTTTTTGCAGCAATAATGTTAATCTTTACCCACAAAAAAAATAAAAATAAAATATATATATATATATATTTTATTTTTATTTTTTTTTGTGGTAATGGCGCTGTCCTGAAAATTTTATTTACTGTCGCAAATATTATTTGAGACGGGTTATTGTCGCCAAAATTTTTTTTTGAAACTCCACTTATTACGACGAAGTTTTGTGACAATATAATTCGTCATAACGAGTGGAGTTTCAAAAAAAATTTATTGTGACAATAATCATCTTAAATAATATTTGTGGCAATAAATAAATTTTTTATCAAAGCAATATCGCCCCCCAAAAATAATCCTTTTTTTTCCTTCAAAATGTGTTTTTTTTGTGACCGTAAATATATCCACCATAAAAAATATCCTAAAAGACCCTAATTCTTATAGTGTAGGTCCCTATTTGGACATACAACGGCTTCTACCGTGGCTATAGATTTTAATTTTTTTTTTTTAATTGTTGTCGAGTTCATAGGCTAAAATACCACGATATTTAAATTCAATGTTTTTTTTTACATCATAGCAGACTCAAACTTTGGGATAAATCCAAAATTAAACGGATCACAACAACATATAATAAAGCTTATAAAATATTAAAAAAAAAGTTAATTATCCTAATAAAAATTGAATTAACACTTTTAGCTAAAGGGGCCCAAGATTACATTTGGGCCGTTTTCTTTCAGGTATCTCGTCTGCTCTTTCACACTCAGACATACACTTTGACAAGAACAAATACAAGTGAAGCGCATACACGTTGGTACCCGTTACTTATCATCGCCCAGTGCCCACCATACAGCGCCTCCCCTAACTTCTCATCCACCACCACCACACGTCCACACCTTGCACTACACATATTAGATGTTTATTCATTTTGGGCATTGGAGATGTTATTTGTGCGTGCAAGATCCTGCACAATATAAAAAACAAGAATAGATCTCTCCCTTGGTGAACTTCGAGTGAGCCGGTTGAGTGACCAAACACGCTGCTTGGAACAGCCTGCAAGATACGGTGGTAACCTGGAACGGCAACAGGAGATCCTGGAAACGGAAGAACGATCCAGTAAGGCTGAAAGAGGTTCCTGGAATAAAGAAGAACAAGTTAGAAGGGCGCCGGAGTGTTTTCCGGCGTATCCCCTCCGACGATCTAGTCAGTTTTTGAGAAATAGAGAGGAAGAAGAAAACACTGAGAGTGTATTGTAGTAGAGAGTTTTTTGTTGCATACCCGTCTTGCCTTTTGCAAAGAGTATTTATACCTCAAAAGCTCATGATTGCTGTCAGTGTAGTCAGTAGATGATCATTAGGTACAGGCAGTGTGTGCACTGATTCTGATGAGGAATGTCTTCTCTTCTTAACTGCTCGGGGTCCCGAGCAATCAATGTTGTGCCATCGGGATGCCGACGGTACAATGTACTCGTCTCGGGGAGGATGCAATAAATGCTCTGTATCAAGAGCATTTATTGTCTTTTATTTTCGAGCCTTACCGCATTGAATGCGGTCTCATCAAGGGAATGGTGCAATTAATTGTTTGCTTTCTCAAGTCGTGTGTCAGCAACATCATGCGTTTTCTCTGTTTCGATGTGATATCATTTGCCACGCGTCCATCTCTTAATGGCAGTGACCCCTGCATTCCAGTACGTTCTGACACTAATTGTGTAAGACGAGGTCATGATGAATAGCTTAGACTAGCCTAGGCTAATGACCTGTACGTCAATAGCTTATCCTGGAGTAGAGAAAGCGTCCAGGACGGGGTACCTCTCGGCACCGAGGAAAGGCTCATCTCGGGGACCGAGGGAGGTATGTCGACCGAGGTACATATCAGACCGAGGCCACGTGTTGGTTGTAAAACATACTGAATGCATGATCCTATATGACGAGTACCTCGGGGGCGAGGACCTTTGTGCGCCGATGGTGCTTGATCTTATCAACAGTGTTTTGGTAAACCGAGGACACGTGTTTTCATCATGGAGTATCTCAGAAAAGTCCCATCAACTGCCCCCCAGCCTTCGATCTTCTGACACTGAGGACACGCGTTGTAAGGAGACGAAGGGTTTCCCAACAACCACCTGTGCTTCATCATTGCCTCGAGCCGCTTTTCCCCGGCTTGGGATGTCGTGCGCATTAAATGTGCTGTTTCGTTTTTCGCGCCCAATGATGAAAATTGCCTCTATATAAAGGGGGCTCCTCTTCCGTTTTTCTCGTTTTGCCATTCCGAACTTCCTCAAGAGAGCCTCTTCTTGAATCTTCGCCGGAGTTTTGTTTCTTCTTCCATCGTCGACTGCCCATTCTTCCTTAAAATCTTAAAGCCAGCAGACCCATCGTTGATTCTGAACTTTCTGGAGGGAGTCGCTTTAAGGTTTTCCAGAAAAAACTCCGTTTTGACATTCGGGTGAGTTTCAGAATCCTCTTTCTTTTCTTCCTCCTAGCCTTTTGTTTTCCGATTGACTGGAGGTGTCTCCGGTTGATACATAGCGATTTAACCCTCGGGAAACTTCCTCAGGGATTTTCAAGAACAAATACCCTCTTCTTACTTTTTTAGAGATGCCTCGTCGTCGCCCTGCTCCCGAGAATCCTCAGGCTGGTTCTTCGGGGTCGGGGAAATATAAAGTAAAGGGGGGTGAGCAGATTGATAGGTTTAAGGTCAAGTACGACATTCCCCCGTGCGTAGACGTAGAGGATTATGACCCTGTGTTGCACTCTTCT